CCAGTAGAGCTTGCGGCGAGAGCACGACTCGCTGGCCGAATCGTCGCTCGGACCATTGGCAGCGGCGTTGCTTCGCTCTCGGGGGGTGGGGAGGGGACTATTTTAAAACTCCCCGTCCTTCCCCCCCGATGCACATACACACGCGATACGTGCACCTAAGATTCGCAGCTTCTTTCTTTTGAACGTAGGTGTATTATGCACGCGCGCGTGCTTCTGATCGTTAATGATGCTATACCGATTCGCTTCCCGATTTTTTTTTTTTTTTTTTTTCGCTCGCGTGCTCTGTTTGGGCTACTTATTGCACGCCGTAGTATCACCGACCTGTTGGAGTTGTAAGGATTTTTTATGGAAAAAGGTAAAATAAAAACGTAGGACGATAAATGACGTTTGGGCGCGCGTACAGAGTAATTGGGTGCGATTTTCTCCTTGGGCTTGTGCCGGTCTAACGAGTTTTGCTTGAGGGTATACACGTAAAGAACCTGCCCATTGCCTCGGAGGTGCCAAAAAAAGTAGACCGAAAATTTCGTAGCGCTTTATAATTTATCGCTCCCAAATATTAATAGTCCGCCAGGGTGTTGAGCCATGCATTAAGCGCTTACATGTGCTGTAGTATATACCACACGATTAGCCTAATTAGCGCTTTTTGGTATTATGTTCCCGGAAAAACTATCGCTATTTGCAACAAAGTGGGACCATCGGCACGTGACTCGGGGAATCCAAAGGAGGCATGTCTACGTCTTTGGTTGTTTCTTCCTCGTTTAGTTGCGTGCGTCGAGGCATCACCACGTGCCGCGTACGTGTTTTTGCGAATTTGCAAAAAAAAGGAAATATCCTTGTCTCTGCGTCGAGTTCCATTTGTCAATTTTCCACGATGCACTTGTTGCGTGTCCATCACCTCCACTCTTTGTATGCCAATTTCACTCTGAACGACAGAACAAAAGTGAGCGAAAGAGGTAATACGTCAAAGTGCTAGTTGGGTTGATTAATTGATGTTTTCCACTTCTTTCTCCAACAAACATTGGAGCTTTTGGAGAACGTGTCTACAATGGAAGGTAAAGCTTTTTCCGTAGAACAAGTCACTTGAACGACGAAAGAATTCTTGCCCTTTGTTTTCTTTTCGAGGAACCGCGTGGACATTCCCGCGCGATGGCTCTTACATAGAGAAATATTTTTTTACCAAGAACATGATTTACTGTTTTCAGGATTTTTTTCTTTTTATACATCCAAATGTCGCCTTTTCGTTGAAATAAACGTACTCGCGTGAACATTGAATTTATTGTAGGCTACGCAAAATTTGTGGTAATACAAGATTTGGTAACTGCTGAAGATTTGGAAAATTCATAAATAATACTCGATTTGGCTGATGATGGTAAAATAATGAAATATGGCTTTAATTAAAGTCGCACTAATTAGTAGATGACAATGTGTACCATATTGCTCGTGAACACGTTATTATAGAATAGCATCTTCTCGGAACACGTTTTCACGGGTATTTGTTAAATTAACAAGCGACCATTTGAGATAAACAAAAAAGGAAGCGGTCCAACTAATTTGCGGATGATTTCTCGGCAAACTATGATACTCGTTAACATCGCTAATGTACTTGGGAAAAAAAAAAAAAAAAAATAGAAAATAAAACGCGAACAAGACTAATGGGAATTTCAGGCACTCGCGAGATTTACACAAAGATCTTAACTTTGTACAAAAAAATACATGTAGATTCTGATGAGCGCTTGATGCGGGGCCATGAATCAACGAGGCTTTTGGACGAAGAAAAATTTGCGGTAAGTGACTTGTCTTGTTGGACTAAAAAAAAAAAAAAAAAAAAAAAAAATTTCACAATCACAAAGTCCATAAACCCACAAACGATAAATTGTTTTAGATGCAAGGATTCAAAGAAAATTCAAAATGGCTCAATAAAATAAATGTACCGTCGTAAAAATACGTGTTTTATGGACTTGTTCTGGAATTTTTTAAAATCAATAAAGTTTAATTTGCTCACAATGCTACAATTAATTGTGTTGTGTATAATCTTTGTTGGGAGGAAATGAAAGTTACTTATACAATGAATAACTTTTTACAAATGGTAATTATCGGAATAATCCATGGAATATTCAACAGTATAAATATTAAAATCAACTAAGAGTATCTGATTTGGAAAGTGAGAAAAACATAGAAACGGTATTTAATTTTTATCACTTTTCGTAAAAAAAAAAAAAAAAAAAAATCAGCGTGAAAATCGTCCGTATACGTACCTACATAGACACGAAAAACTCCGCTACAGAATAAATCGTCGTGCGTATTGTTGCGTTATATCACGCGTACATCAGTATGGATATCGATACCATGTCTCACACGGTGTCGTTGAATCGGTGCGTGACTCGACGGACGTGTAGGTGAGCCGCGATCTCTTTCCCTCTTATCTTATTCTCCGTGCATTCGTGTACTGTTTTTTTTTCTCTATACGCGCACAGTACCTTCCTAGTTCCGGGGCTTTTTATCTGAATAAGCGTTTTGCGGACGTCACTCGTTTCATCGAAATTCTCTCGCCGTCCCTAATGTAAGCCGCACACGCTCGAATCGTCATCCAAATCGCTTCCTCTGTATACTTCTTCTCTTTTTTTTTCCAATCGATTGAAACGTTATTCAATGAAATCTCGTACGTTATAGTTTTTTCCCAAGCCATCGTGAATGAAAAATCGATTCGATTGCTTTGGATGGCATTAAAATCTTGGGTATGTTATTCGAAAATTACCGACACACGTCTGGAGTCGAATCACTATTAATGTAATCGATTCGAGTTTGCAAATTCGCGCCGGATTATAATCAATCCAAAGCGATCGATTTCAATTTTATTCCGCTAATGAACCAATTATTGCATTCATACGTGCAACTTGTTTTGAGAAAAAAAACTTCTCTCGATGCAGTTCAATAAGTGGTCAATTTATCACTTGGATCGTGTGGAGGTATGTATACTATAACAGTAGAGTTTATCCCTTTGTACGACAACTTTGTCATTATGACAAGTTGAACGGTACGTTTTTAAAATTCAAATCGTTGGATTTTAAGATTTATTTGCGTTAAGCGATGTATTCATGAAAGATTTCCTGCAAAGAAGAATTTCGCTTTTCGAAGATTATAGTTTGACACATTTCTGAACTGCTTTTGATGATTCATCCAATTCTTTTGCATCTAGGTATTCAAGCATCACTTTGTATCAATGAAAAACTATGTGTACTGTCACAAGTATGTTTAACGACAAATGCCTATCGGTCAGTTGATTTAAGCTTGAATATTTAAGTAAAGATAACACCGTATTTAATTAATGATTTCGTAAAGAACTAAACATTCTTTAAAAATTAAAGACTCGAAAGTTAAGATCGATACGAAAATGTGCGTGGTCCAGTTGGACATCATATACGAAGAGCGAAGCAAATAACCAGTTTGCGCCAAACCACATATCGCGCAAAGATGGAACCAATCGCGTGGAATATGTTCAACGATTAGTGCCTGCACCGAAAGCCACTGAGTGCTAATCAAAATCACGCGTCCTCGCGTATCGGACCAAACACCGTCACGCGTCGTATTGAAATTCACAAGTTAGGCATACCTCACATCCAATTTCAAACCCAAACGCATCAACCGGTGACGCGCAAGCGTTTCAAGGCTCCGAGTCGCGAGGAAATTTGGAGACTCGCTGTCTTTATTTTGTAACAACTAACTCCTCTTTCTCTCGACGTGGACATTTGCCATACGTTTGCAGATTTGCGCGCATAACCGGGGATGGGGGGGTTGTTTTTGTTTGGTTATCATGTTAGGCCGTTTACCGCGGATTCCTAAAATACAGGCGCTAACTCGTCGAGGACTCTGTGTACGGGAGTTGCGAGCTTCGCCGCTGCATTTTTTTGAGGTAAGAAAAAAAAAAAAAAGTAAAATAACGCATTTTGGTTCTTATTGTAACTCGAGAAGCTGCAAGTGTAACTAAAGTTGATTTACGTGTTTTATCTAATTTTTTTTTTTTTTTTAATCACTTGGGAAACATTTTTGGAGCATAACGAACTTTATTTATTTCACTTGCTTGTTTAATACAATAAAAAGACAAATACGTCGATCCCAAATGAAACAATAGCCTTGTAAAAACACTGTCAGCCTTTTGACAGGATAAATTTCTGTAACCACCTTTTCCCATCCTCCGATAAACACCTCTTGTTTGAGTTTCAATTATTTATGCAACAGTTGGAATGCTTACACGGCCTAGTTTCTGTCTTATTCTTTCCAAGTACCATTTTGTGTCAAAAATATATCGATTACGATTACAGATAAAAATACTAATCGATAAGTTGACTTTTATTGTATTATTTTTTTTTTTATTAGAATGAATGCCATGAACGTATAGCACAAAGGAACCCGTACACTTGTGCATTGCAGCTGTGATTGGTCTTTAAAAAAAAAAAAAAAAAAAAAAATCGTAGATATCATACTCTCGATTTAGAAAAATCTGTTTTTTATTCCTAAATCAGAGCCTATTGTTAAGCGTAAGTTTTGATTCCGATGACGATTACTTTTTAGAGCTTACAAGGTCAACTTGAATTCTTTTCCTTACGTATTACAAGCTACATGGAAAATGGTCAGAAATGGCCAACCACTTTTTTTTCTGTTTGTTTCAATGGTAAATAGTTGCACCCAATATTTACCAAATCACTCGTTTAAACTGAGAAAAAAAAATTTAATTTAGTCCCACCAGGCCGATTTAAAAAAAAAAAACAGACAACCCGACAGTTAGCTTTACCCCAGCTCTCTCCGTATAGTCCCTCTGAACTGTACGAGTGATAAGGCCATACACGTGTAGGTGTATACGTCGAGGGAAAAAAAGAGAGAGATCGAGAGGGGCCAGCCGGTCGGACACTACAATCGTCGGGGGGAAAGAGAGAGAGGGATAAAAGCTCGGCGCCGGGCTCGCGCGTGCCATTAATGCCCCGCGTATCACAAGCCAGCGTCAGACGACGAGTCGGCCGTGTTCGGCAGCCAACGAGCTTAGCCCGGCCAGCTGATATCGCGTAAACTCACTTACGACGCTTCGCTCGCTTAATAAGCCGCGGTCGCTTCTCAGTTGCGCGTCGAGCGATCGCCCTAAGCGGACCTACACGCACCACGAGTGTACATACGCTGCGCGTGTGCGCCCATCACGTAACATGTGCCGCGACAATCGTCCCGCGACATCCGACACCATGATTTCGTGACGAAGGGCCCCACCTGCTCCCAAACGGAGTTTTACACCCTATACCACCCTTTACTCGTCCTCGTTCGGTTCATCCTTTTTTTTTTTTTTTTTTTCCTCCCCTCGATCGTTGCGTGCGCGATAAGTTTCGTCTCTGCCGATTTTGACCGAAGCATATGAGTACAAGCGCGAGGAGGATAAACACCGAGCAAAGGGTGGCCACCGGAGAATGTCGAAGAAGCAATGGCTGGTCCTGCTGATGCTGTTTCTCCTGTACCTCCTCCTGGGGGCTTCCATGTTCTACCACATTGAGAGCCCGCTCGAGGTCAAACACGTTCACGAGGCCCGTCTCAAGCGCATCGAGATACACAGTAAGTGGCCTCCCTCCCCTTTTTTGTATTTTCTCTTTTTCTTTGTACTTACTATCCACGTGCTTGCGCCACTGCGTAGAAGTATTGCTTTTTTTTTTTTCAATGACCGATAAACTGGTCGAAAGGTGACGGTTCGTTTTGTTTCGGTCAAAAGTGTCATTTGTCCGTTTGCCGCGACAGCTCCGAACAACAATTAAACTGTTCGGTGTGAAATTACAATTGTCATTTACTGCGGGGGTTGCTTTTTTTGCCGTGGCCATTTCTTTTCACAAGCGCCTGGAACGCGTTGATTATTATTTTGCCAATGGCTGTTCGGTTGGCTCGTCGATTGCGCTTTCGGTTCGAGATTTTTCGCCGCGTCGATGAATTCATCCAATTGTAACCTTATCATCCCGAATTGTTGGATCCCATCGTGTGGATCCGTCCGGTCCACTCTTCGTACCAAAATAGAGATAAGATGTAGTGTATACTCGTGGCTATCGACTGAAGAGTATTTCAAGAAATTTGATACTCGTCACTTTCCTCGTATTTATAGCCGATAGGTCTTGGTTTTTGATAAAAGAAAAAAAAAAACAAAAAAAAAACGATGTCGTCAAATTTAATTTCGTAGCTGAGAAATAATACTCGTACTCCTGAAATCTTCATGAAGAAATTTAACCACCGGTTCATTTCGTGGTTGCGCGTTGCGAAAGAATCACAGCCAATTATTCTGCTATCGATATACCGCAGTTTCGAAAATGGTCAATTGAAAAGTAAAGCAATCGCCTCGCCAAAACGAGGTATCTCCAGGTTCTCAAGTTTTTTCCGTTATCTCTTTGGCTTTGTTTTCTTGTCAAATGGCGCGTGTGGGCATGCATATGCATGGCATTAATTAAGAGCCGCTTGTCAATTGACCGTACGAGCCATTCACGTATCGCCTGCATATAGTCCGCACTTGTGTATATAGCCTCAGAGGAGCGCTAAAAAGACCATCTGCAGTCTGCACGCTGATATTTCTCTCTCCCACAAACACACACTTGCGAGAATCGGAATCAATTACTCCATTAGAGGCGCGCGTCCGTGCTTGGGCCATCACTCGGGTTGGCTCATTCGAACGAATTTCAACGCCAATCTCGACCCTCTACCCGATAACAACGACGGACTCTGGGCTCCGATTCGCACAGCGATCGCGACATGATACATACTTTTATTTGGCGCTTCCAACAAAAATTATTATCGTGCATCATCGTGGTCTCTCTCGTGGAAAAACCTGTGTGTTTTGGATACACATGTGTTGTATATTGTCATTGCATGGCTCGATGTGATTTACGAGTTCCGTTGCCCATGCATGTGCATGTATGCGTCTTGGTTTTTTCACCGCCGGTGACGATGCGTCCGTGCATTATTTATTGCCATGAGACGTTTACATTTTTTTTCCCGTAGCGTATTTTTTTGTATCTCCCATCGGTGCAAAGAATCGAGAAAGCCATGGGCTGTCTCCTCGAGAGCAAAGATTCACTCGATTTTCTTCGCTAGAATACAGGAGAGATCGTTATGGTCGAAGAGCGGAAGAGACACGAGTTGTATGTACAAAGGTCTCCGGCATCGTGTGGTAGATTCATATTTTATTGATGAACGCGCGAGCGAGCGGCGACGCGCCTTCGCCGCGGAATCGGCGATCGGTATGCGAGACTCGCGCTCGAAAGGCCGCGCGTGCATGCGTATATTATGCTCTTTTTTTCTTTCTTTTCTTTCTTTTTTTTTTTTTTCCCTCCATACACTTTTACAGAGCAAAAGTTTCGCTGGTGCCCAATATTTGGATGGATAATAACAAATTACAGATACCCCAGGTAATAACACCTCGGGGCAGAGAGAAGTTGTTTTGTTTGCGCGAGGCTTGATTATCCGTTTGCTCGAGGAATTCCGAAAGCGCGTACATCCACGTCCCGATTGTACGTTTTACGACAGGGGATTTGGGTCCGTTTGTTCTGAGCTTTCGTCGATTAACTCTGTAGTTTTATGGATATATGTACCGCAGACGCGGCTACCTGGTTTTATGGAAATAGTCGTGAACTTGAACAAAAAAACAAAAAACAAAAAAAAGTTTTGGTATACACACACCCACAATCGAGTGTTGCAGTAGGTCGATGTTGAATGAAAAAATCGCATTCGTTGAATCGGCGATCGGCTAGCAGGAAGTCGGGCGATCAAAGCTCGGTCGGAAAATAAAAACCACTCCCAGAGAGGAGTTGGGTCGTTGTTATGCAAAAAGCTCGCCGGGGTGATGCAATCGCGCCGAAAGCATTGACAGTGACATTCGCTGCGGGTATCGATTCAAAAGGTCCCTTGTGTATGCCATCGACCTCGGCAATTACGCTGTTTCTTCTTCACACTTTGTTAGCGCTTCCGTATAGTATAGCCGGACCCCGAGGAAGGGGCTGGCACTACCACTGGACCTTTTGGAAGGTCTTTGATACCTGTTTGCCAACAGAGACTCCTTTGATAAACATTTTTTTTTTTTTTTGCGAAAAATAAAGTGATTTAAATCGTTTAGCCATGCACGTGGTCAGTGTAGGTGCGATTATAAAGATTCGCTTGAGTATGGACTGTAGTAGTGAATGAGCTCTTTGTTCATGATTGCTCGTGGAGTTAAATTTTTTTTACATTTCTAATCCAAACGATTGTGGACAATATCGCGTGATTACGTCGATCGTAAACATTTTTTATTTTTATGCGCAGGATGATTCGATAAACCGTTACTCAGAAATTTCCCAAGTGCAGTTTATTGTTAAAACTTTAAAAGTTCGCATAAGCTTACGATTGCTGGGTTTTTTTTCTGGTATCAATTCACTAGAGTTGCACCGGTGATAAACAAAAACATATATAATGTGCATGGGTCCATGAGCACGACGGCGACGTGAAAAAAAATTATGCCTCTGTAGAATTTCTAAGTAGGTACTTGCTTCACACAAGAATTTTTCACTTAAAAAATAACGTACATCGTTATCTCAAACGGTCTCGCAAGACTTTGTAGCTTTTTCTCTAGTAATTTGATATCGAGTAAATTTTGAAATCAATTTTTTACTAAAGTTATATTCGATGCAATACACTTATTTAAATTTGTGTTCTTATTGCTTGACTCTGAATATACCAGACGAGCATATTTTTTAATATAAACATATAAATACAGGTACTATTGAATACGACGTTATTCCCTAATCAAAAACACTATGTTTTGAAAATCAGTCGTTTCTATTTACACCCAAACAAATATAAAACGAGGCCTCACCGAAGTATATAATACGATGTAGATATCCCAAAATACGTATAAATTTATATCATCGGGATTATTATGAATTAACCGACGATAAACGTAAACTAGACGGTCTAAAAATAGAAGCACAAATATAACAACTCACTAACCGATTATTAGACGAACAAACAAATTAATATCCCTCGCCACCTGCACCACGCAAGATATTGACTGCACTATTGTACACCTATACTATTTTCACCCACCACGAATTCTCTTTTTAATCATTTTTTTATTTTTTTTTTATTATTATAACTTTATACATAACAAATTAGAAATGCCTCTCGGCTCGGAAAAATCCAAAATGCTGTAACCCCGTGATTTCACGCCCAGATAAAAAATGAGCTCATTAGTGTACTATAGAGGTTTGCAAACTTGATCGTGTCCGTGTGGTTAAGGGTCACGCGTACATCCCCGAGCCCTGATCCCAATAAACGTTTCTCTCTCGAGTCCTTGTGCCACTGCTCGATCGAATCCGATCTTTATCCATCCGTTGTCGCTCTCCTTTTCGAGCAGCCTTTGAATTATGATGGTTTTCAAGCTGTCAGTTGTTCCGGGCATTATACTGCGGAAAACGAGAAGTTTCTATTTTATTCGAGCTCGTAGCATATAAATATACTATGTTTCGAGGAAATCGAGAGACTAGCCGATGACGATTGGCCGACGTGACTTTGCCGTGACATTTCGCGTATCTCTCGGTTGATATTGTAAAACAACAATGATTAAGAACGCCCAGCGAAGGTTGCGGGCCATCACCTCCGGCCACTCGACGAACAACGTTACGAGTGCATTTTTCTCTATCGCCTCTCGATCTCCTCGACAATCGCGCGCATATATACACACCCAAGAGGGAATAAGATGTACGTAGTGATATCGAACGAAGAGAGTCGGGGACGAGGTTGCGACATCGATACCCACGGAATTTTCGACTACAACATCGTGCGCACAAAAGATATCTTACGCGCGTTTTGCCATTTGCCTATACAGTGTACACGGTATAATAGCAAATGCCAGCGGCCGCCGTCTTTGTTCCCAATGGTGACTTATAATTATACGCGAGCGCGCTAAAGCGTGTTTACTCAGTTGCGCGCTCGCACCGCTGTACTTACACTCCTACACCAATTTCGCTTCAATTACATAATTTGTTTCGCGCACCGATATCAATATTTTTAATGAATTACGGAGCGACCTCATGTAGTTGCGCGCTCGGCCGTCGTAGTTTTATATCCATCGAGACGAATATTCCGTGTAGCTGGTGGGGAAAGCAAAATACTCGTGTTGCCGGGTGTTACCATCGGGAAAAAATGTACTCGTCTGTAATATCTATGGTGAGGTTTGGGGTCATTTCAAAGCTTTGGAGTGTAGACAAATTTAATCTCTTTGGGGCATCTAGCCTTATCGTTAGCCTTGATACCAGATTCACTATGTCGGTATCGGTATGTGGTTGGCATTTTTTTGTACTATTTCTTGGAACCACTTTTTTTTTTTTTTTTTTTTACTCATTATTCACCCATTTGCCTTCATTCAAACTTGAATTCCGTTTGTTGTTCTCCCAAGGCGCTCATTAAATCGGTTAACGAAGAAAAACATAATTTCCCAATTGTGTGAGTACGTGAAAACGGTTATCAGACGCTGACCCGTCATTAGTGTAGGTACGTTACCTTAAATGTTGTCCGATAAGATATGACGTGTTCACGATTACAGTCCATAGAAACAGACTCATATACAGCTATGATTTTTGGAATCATCGTCTCGTCACGTTTGGAAAGTAGTGTAATATCGGTAATTTCGAGAAAATAACATCACGTTTCACCTCTCGACGAGCCATTTGTAACAACACACACATTTGTCACTTTCGTGTCGGCAACTTTTAAATACATGGTAAATTGTTTCAAGGTGTACAGAGCCGAAAAAATTTATCGCGTCGGCGCAAAAACTAGAGGCTTAAATATATATGTCTTTGCCGTAGCGTGACTATACTTTGACAATTATGACTGTTAAAGGTCTTCGTATGAGCCGATATGTTTTAAATGTTTTAAAAATTAGTACACGACGATCGAGTCTTTGGTTTCACGTTAGGTGCTTTGGCGGCATTTCGATTATTCCTCGTTGATTTTCTTCGCATAGCGGCAGCCCAAAGCAGTAGTGTCCGGTTGTGGTGCATGAAAATCGGGCAATCATGCAATTCGAGAAATCTCTTCTCCAGCAGTACTGGATGCAAAACAGCAACAACATCAACGGCTCTCAATGGCCTGAAGTGAAATTGCTCCTATTCAAGCGTAGTGTGATATGCTTACCGCGCCGTTTAACGCTCACAATGGTGTGGTACCCCGTGGAGAGAGCACACAGCTGTTGTTTTTAAATACCTCGTGACAACACCGTTTCTTTTGCCATCGAGGTGAAATTTGTGCTGGAAAACAAACATATAAATATTTTTTTCCATCTCTACTTATAATCAGTACTTGACCGAAACTTTTACCACTAATAATATGACGAATTGTGTTTTTGGAGTGAAAATGTTTGGGAGAGAACAAAGGTTTGAAAATAAGTATTTCTTTCTAAAAATACATTACACTCAATTTGATGGAAAAAGTTTTTATTGAATATTATGTTATAAACGTAGTGATGAAAAAAATAGGCAGTAGAAAATAATTTATATATTACGTTTGAGATAAAAAAGTTATGTATTAAACAATTTATAAAAAACAAAACATGTGCTCACCTTCCAGTATTACCTTGCTCATTGCATGGACTGGAAAATTTTTTAACGTCGATTCGACACATTTATTTGAGAAAAAGAAAAAAAAAAATCCAACAACATTGATTAAAGTAACATTAGAGTGTTTACCGTGAAGCTCTTGGTCTGATGATAAGATAGGTGTTCGCAAGTAACTCTAATAGATCAATAAAACAGATATTGTGTAGGTGCGCTTAATCTAAATCCACCTCGTAAGGAGGAGACATTAAATGAATCGGTGTATGGATTATCCATCGCAACACTATATATTGTTTATTGTTATTATTATTACTATTATTGTTGTTGTTGTTTCTGTTGCTCTTGTTATCAGCTGATAATTGTAATTGCATTGTTTGTTCTACTTTTGAATACTTATCAACGTAACAAAATAACTGTATTCGTAATAAAAACTTGCAACGTTACAATTAAAAAAAAGAAATTTTTTTTTCATACAAAAATGCGTACATTTTTTTGCGGTTCTAAATCATAAGTACGACATTATAAAAATTAAAAAAAAAAAACACGTAAAAACCGACCTTGAGGAATAAATCTCGAACTATGCCTCTCATGAAAAAAGTGTAATGCCGACAGTAACTTTCGACCTATATGTATAAAAAAATGGCCTTACGATAGAAAAAACACGTGACATAAATCTCGTTATCCCTGGCGAATAAAATGTTACACTACGTAAGGTGTGGGTACGCGAGTTTCGTGATACGGACACTTTGGACACACGGTGCAACGGCCTCGAGTCATTCCGATGAATGATATTATAAATATCCTCGCGTATGAATGACAATTACTACAATCTTTTGTCACGCCGGTCAAACGTATAATCTAGTCCAAAACCATAAGAGCAGAGCCACGTTACACTACACCCAATACCCCAATAAAAGCAACTCGTCCAATTGTATATACTTCCAGAGTCTTCGTCTATCGACACTTTTCGTACAGCCCAACAATCGATGCGAATAAACATCGTGGAGAAAATTATTTTTACTTTGCAAGCATGTTCCGATCAACAATGCAATTGAATGCCATCACGTAATATACAAAAACGATTAATCATTAAGGACACGCTCGACGAGATTCGCAGATTAGGTGTGCAAATTGCGCTCAATGGGACACTGGTGTTCGTCGAGACTTCCAAACGGCTCGAGTCCACGAAGCAAAAATGATTTTTCGAAAAACAATTTCCCACTATTGGCCCGAATCATCCCCCGCGTATCGATCCTCGAATCGACAATTGCCACTCCCGAGAAGCATTTACGATCCACTTGGAAAAAAAAAAAAAAAAAAAAAAAAAAAAAAAGGTATACGATCGTCAACTCGCCCGTGGATTTTTTTCTTCGCCGACCCCCGCGACCGGCTCCCTCGATTTGCTATATAAATTGTAGGCACGGCGCGGCAGCTGATAAGATAATGGGGAGCAATTCCAGCGAAGAAGCCGCGCACAGCCTCTCTCTCTCTCTCTCTCAGGCCAGTGTATCTAACATTTACTTTGGCGAAACAAGACGACGCCTGCACGTACGCGCGTTAGGTTTGGCGGTACAAAAATGGCACTGCCAAAGTCACGCGTGCCTCAACAATTGATTGGAAAACCACGCGGGCACACGACACGAGTCACTTGGATTAATTTATTTTTGTTCAACTTGTCGATTAGATACAATGTATGCACGAGCGGTGGCTCTCGACACAACACTCGATAAATGAATTATACGTATACAGTTTGAGTTACAGCGCGATCAAACAATTCGATCAACTCTGATTTATTGGATTTGCCATGGGAATTATCGAGTTATAGGCGCGTGAGGATGTATCGATACGAGCAATGGAGACATATATATATATTTCAAAGGGTGGGTATATATATATGTATAGGCGACGAAGGTGATTGTGTATGGTTTTAGGTGACGTCACGCCAACGCAAGAGATAGATGTAAGTACAGATAATGCGTTTATTGGGCCGAGGAGCCATAGCTTGCGATCGATACACCAATAGACCGGGTCGCGGTGGATTTTCATTGTGGATAAAATATGCATCGGCAAGTTGCGATTAGGCGACGCAATGTCACAAACGGGGAAGTGATTTCGAGTTGCGTCGAGTGCCCAAGTAACCGAGAACGAGGAGGAAAAAGCAAAGTGTCCTCCACGAGGAGATAGAAGCGCTCGCCGGTCGATTGTTTATCGCGTTGTGTGTTTTTTGCTCGATTACGATAACGGAGATTATGATTCGCGTCGCGTTTGTAATTTCGCTAATTCGATCGATGACGATTCGTCGCGAACGGGGTAAGGATACTCTTTTTTTTTTGTTTTTTTGTTTTTTTTTTTTGTTTAGCAGATGTACGTTTTATTTGCGTAATCGGTTTTTTCGTCAAAGTGTTTGTGGCGGCGAAAGTTACGCGTGCGCTTGTATTGAAAACATGGATCGGAAATTGGACTTTAATTTCTGGATTTTCCGCGCTGGGAGTCATCGAAAGTTTGTTAATTAGTAAAATATGTGAAAAAGTATATGTGAAGCTCGTACTGCGTTGTCGAGCACTTCTCACGGGAAAAAAGGTTTGCGCGATCTAATCTACGTGAAATCACTGCGTTATCGACACTATTTTACAGTAGTATCGGAAATCACAGTCAGGATTTGATTTTGTCAAAAATTTAAACACAACAATTGAAAATTATGTTGCAAAATTGATCCTTTTGAGAACGAATATGAAAATAAATTACCCGCGAACGTGATTTGCTTGCGCATAGGCGAGTTGACGAGGTCGATCTTTACGCAGTTCTATCATTGCTCATTGAAATGCATCATCAGTCACGAAACAAAACAACGACTTTGCGTATGGAAATCAGTTTCATAATTTTCTCAAAATTTATAATGTTTTGTTTAGTCGTATGAGTCCTTTCATGACGAATGTTCGAACAAACTTGTATTTTTTTTTGTCACAGGTCTCCTCAACGAGCACTACAGATCGAGCGGAGGTCACGATCAGCACGAGATCTTGGAGAAGCTCACAAAGTATTGCGGCAAATCCGTGCACAATTACTCGGAAGGCGAGACCGACCCGCTAAAATGGGACTTTTACAACAGTTTCTACTTCGCCTACACAGTTGTGAGCACGATCGGTAAGTCGATCGGTATCATTGACGCATTAGAAAGCACGAGTTTAAAAAAAAAGTCCTATCTCTCTCCTTCTGCTATCAAATTCATTTGATCAGAGCACAAATTTTCCTCCAACGACACTTGAACGATGAAAAATCGGCTCAAGAATTCCAGATTAGACACAACTACCGATCCAGCAATTAATGCGCGACGCCAAAACAGGCAATCACCGTTGATCATGTAATTTTCAGGCTACGGCAATCTGGCCCCGACGAACCCAACCGGTCGCGTGCTCATGATATTCTACGCCCTGATCGGTATCCCGATAAACGGGATCCTGCTGTCGCAGCTGGGCGAGTTCTTCAGCGAGACCTTCGTCAGCGCCGTGCGACGCTACAAGGCCTACAAGAAGAACCGAAACGAGTACTCAAAGTCGTCGCTCAACTCGCTGGAGAAGCAACGCTTCAGTCTGGCCGTGCAAATACTCACCTATCTGATACCCGGCTTCGTCATGTTCATCTTCTTCCCGGCGTTTCTCTTCTCGTACTACGAGCACTGGAGCTACGACGAGGCGGTCTACTACGCCTTCGTTACCCTCACGACCATCGGTTTCGGAGATTACGTCGCAGGTGAGCTCCACACCCTCTAGAACTTACATTGGGTGTGGGTTACTCGTTTATTAATTTTACCGATTCTCGTCATATATACACACTCGGGTGACGCGAGTCGTGGAACGAATCTGCCGATAGGTGTAACGCTCTTCTCGATGCGTCAGTGCTCGCGCGTTTTATCGTACTCGAGGAAATTCCCCTCGAGAATAATTTATAACTGATCAATAAATTCGACTCGACTTTTTAGCCTAAAATAACGTCCCTATCCTTATACAGAGTTGTACAGCTAATCAGATTGGAAAAAAAAAAAAAAATAAATAACATCTTAAAACTGGAAAAAAAAAACCAAATTTTTTTTTTTTTTTAATTTTATTCATCACGGAAATGGAAAATGAATTTTTACGATTATCTTAAAACGTCGCGTTTTATTTCCGAAGCGCTCCGTCCTGTTGTCTCGCGTCAAAGATTTTCTCATTACGCGGACAACGTCGCGCAATATTTTTGTCGTTAAAGCACCAATAAATTCGGCCATTACACCGGCGCGCTTGCAATATAACTTTAACGCCAAGTGGAGTATGATTTAATTAGGGTTACCAGTTCCGCGACAGTGACATTTACACACACGCGTACACACACTCACGTTACAAGAAATGCGAAGCTCGTTAAAGTCATTTACGCAATTGCGGTCGAACGAGTGCGTGTCCATTCGTAGAGATCTATGATGCGCTTAAACAAACAATGAGTGATTTGTTGGAATCTGTAATACATGGATACACACACGTTTTGTCAGTTTGTTTGATGAGAATTTTCAAAAAGAGCGTCGCGTGAAGTAGGTATACATACACCAAAGGTGTCACGCCAATTAATAACAAATCCTATGTATGTTTCGTTGACGCTCGCAGGAGTCGCGGATCGTCCAAAGTAAGTATAAGGTCGAAGATTATCCTCTTCGTGTGCGTAGACGAGTGCTGTTGTTGTATCAGTGTCTATGTATCCCTGCATGTATTTATTTACGTAGATAGAGCACCAAGAGACGCGTCGCACGATCTAATGAAATGTGTATCTTGAACGCAGTAAGGATTTTAATTTTCCACTCGAGTTCACGGTTGTTTTACTTTTTTTTTTTTGTAATAAGTACTTGTGTGCACGAATTCTTATCAGTGATTTTTTTTTTTTTTTTTTTTTTTTATCATTGAAACACTTGTTAATCGTGCACTTGAATGTTTATGAAAAACACCCAAGAAAGGAAAGAAAAAAAAAACAAATAAACAAATCGCATAAATTTTCCAAAAAAAAAAAAAAAAAAAAAAAACAGGCCAAGACAACGAGAAGGGCAACGACATACTCTTCGGCGTGTACAAGATATTCCTGATAGTGTGGATATCGTTCGGCTTGGGCTACATCGTCATGATCATGACGTTCATCGGCCGCGGAATGACGAGCAAAAAGGTGGCCAGACTCGAGCACAAGCTCGCCCTCAAGCTCAAGCACACGCAGAGCAAAATTTGGAACGAGTTCAACGAGGACATCAATTATCTGCGCAGGGTATTTAACGAGCTACAATTTTCCAAAGTCAAGGTACTTTATAATCCCTCGTCACGTTTATCCAGTACAATGTACAATGTAATTCTTAATTCCTTAATTTTTTTCCCCCCCAGAGGGTGTACGTCGACGAGTACGACTACGACACGCCTACGTTGAAGTTCCCAAGGAGCATCAGTTTTCCCAATCTCCGGGAACTCGTCTACGGAGGACTGGACGTGCAGATACCACCACAGCCTCGACGCAGAGCCAACAGCGAAGTCGTACCGATGGTTAGTGGCCCAATCTTTTTGTTTTTCTTCCCAATTGAACAGAGCATTTTCAACCCGATGAAACGTTTTAAAAAGCAGGAGGAGTCGCACGTGGCGCGAGTCGTCTCGGAGACGGACCTCCAGCGCATCGACAAGAACGCCACCTTCGCGACCCACGCCATGGTCCAGCCGGCCGAGTTGCTGGCCCGACTGGTCAACATCCTGGGCTACATACCACCACCCCCGGATGACGACGAAGCCTTGCCACCTGATTCGAACATAGGGGTTGGCTCTGGAGTCACCGGTGGCGGCATCCAAGGATTCAGCGAGAAGGAAATCCTCGCGAGCGAAGCTCCACCTTGGAACTCTGTGAGTGACACCCTTTTCTTCCCTACTCAGTGTATATGTATTATTTTTATCGAACGACTAAAACGTTAACAGGAGAAGGAAACCGCGTGGAAGCTCGGCGGGGATACCCCAAAGTCGTACAGGTCGCGGGCCCACAGCGAGGTAAGGCTGGACCGGCCCGAGTTGTTCGTCCACCCGAGCGGCAGCGAGTGGACGTGGTCCGATCCCGCGGCTTCGACCAAAATCAAGGAGATCATGCGAGCCCGCAAGAGCATGCCCTCCAACGCCAAGGAGGCGGCTAGCAAGACGCGCTTCCTCTCGCGCGCGGGACTCGGACTGCCCAAGATGAAGCTGCCCCGCTGGATCAGCGCGAAGAAGCCCGACCAGCTGGTGGATCCAGATACCGATCCCGTGGACGCGGTCCTCGCGGCGGCGAGCAACCAGCCGCCACAGATGCCGGACGGTAAGCTCTCGTGTACACATACCTGAAACGGAGTATAAGATATGACTCACCGGTTGCAGGTCCGAGGCGGCGCAACTCGTACTTTGGCACCCACTTCACGCACACGGGCGCCAGTAGTCTTCTGGAGGAGACCTCGGTGGCCGACTTTTTGCGCGCCCTCACTGCCCTGCACACCCGAGTGGGTGGGGTCCCCGACGACCTGGTGGCGGCAGCGGCGGCCACTCGCAAGACGGCAACCCCCCAGCGCAAACTGGGCACGGCCTCGCTGACGCCGCCCAAACTGCCCAGCCTGGTGGCGCTGTTCTCGCCACCGGGTGCGCCACTCGGTCACAGCCAGAGCCAACAGAACACCGTCACCGGGGTCGTTGGCAAGGTGGCGCAGGCGGGCCGCCGATTTTCCCTGAGGACCGCCGAGAACTCCAGCAACACCACGCCCCTCTACCAGAGACGGCTCACCCAGGGTGCTCCGCCGATCCTACCCAGCCGGCCCAGGAGGTTCTCCCTGAGACAGGTCACCTCATCGGTCACGCCGCAACAGTATTCCTCGGTGGGTTCTCCAAGTCCAAATTCAGTACCGATCGCGTCCGAGTCATTGAGACTGATGATGATTTTTGTATTTTGAACCTCCAGAACCCCGGCCAGCAGCTGGATGGCGCTTCTAGTCCGCCAGCCTACTCGTCCGGTCACTTTGTCCTCGACAATCCAAAGGGGCACCTGGCGACGATGAGGCTCCCCGGCACGGACTCCTTGGCAGTAATGGGTCCCAGAACCGGTCGTCGTTTCTCCCTAAGACCGGCGCAGATCGGCGTCCCACCGGCTCCCTCCAACGCCTCGATCGGACAGCCGGTGAAACCCGTCGCTCCCAGGTGGAGGGCGGGTATGCTCCAGAGGCAGATTGTCCAGCAGAACGCCCGGCGCAAGGTCCAGAGGGCCTTCAGCTTGAGCGACGTGCACTCGGACGAGCGCGAGCGCAACATCGGTGAGTATCCATATATATACGAGTGTGTATGTGTAACGATTCGAGAACAATGTGTATGGTGTGTCGACAGGCATCAGTCCCCTGGCTCTGCACGACAACGCCCGCACGATAACGTCGGTGCAGGGCCAACGTCTGGCCACCTCGACGGCGGGCAAGACGGTGACGATAGTCTCGCCGGGGCTGTCGCGAACGAGGAACAGCGAGCCACGTGGGTCGTCCGAGGCGTTTCAGCAGGGCTCCGGTCGCTTCGGGCGCTACAACAGCGACATCGAGTCCGTGTCGTCCAAGAGCTCGAGCCAGTCGTCCAGGTCGCTGGACCGCGAGCTGGCCAAGACGAGCGACGCGTCCCTCGTGAGCAGCAGGAAGAGCAGCTTCGGGGCGGGCAACGCGATGGAGGACGACGAGTGGGACTTTCCGCCGACTAACGAGGAGGGCGACGTGGGGAAGCCGTCGAGCAACGACCGGATCCTGAAGGCCCTGCTCGGGGAGTCAAGGAGGACCTCTTCGGGGAGCTCCAGGGACGAGGAAGTGGCCTCGGCGACGACGCAGTCGTCCACGGTGTCGACGGAAACGCTGAGCAGTGTACCGTCGTTTAGGCTGGTCGTGTCGCAACACGGGGACCAGGAGGAGAAAAAGTCGGACGAGGTGAGGATAGACGTGCCCGAAGACTCGTGAACGCATTCCAAGGGAGGGGGTTTACCAACGTTACCGATGTCGTTTCGTTTGGTTAATTTAACGATGAACGTATATACGTTGGCGCGTTTTTTGCTATAATGTACGTTGAACTACGAGTATTATTCTTTTTTTTTTTTTTTTTTTTTTTTCTGTATCGGTTTCGGAGCGAGAGGCAATCTAGTGCATTTTCGGGAGCTGTTTTCAAAGAGATGGTTTGTTGAATTATTCGAGGATTCAACAGTATTAGGGTACAATTCATCTCTGTAAAAGCGAATAATTGTTGTTTTTTTGTTTATGAACTGAGAAAATACAGAGTTTACCGTTGTGATTTATTCGAATATAAGTAGATGTATATTTTTTCGCGAGCGTGGATAAGTATGTAAGTTTTAGTTTTTAAGAGTTTTTTTTGTTTGCAGAGGGTAAGTATGTAATGATTGTTACGAGATGATCATCACTTTTCAAATACGTAATTGCAGACATTTGTTATAGCATGCGTAGATGTAAGGATCGGTACTGTTATGTTGGTACACCCAAAGTGCGTTTCAGTCGTGACGCATTGAAGAGCTTACGTAATACGTAGATATGGTTTCTATTATTTAGATGTACGATGAAAAGTAAATATTAAACAATCGGACATTTCCAAGTGTATACTGAAATAACGTTGCTGTGATAGCACTGCGAGCCTTAGTTACTTTAAGCGGTTCTCGGCAGGTACGAGGATAGTATTTGAATTAAAAAAAAAAAAAATCAAGTCCAGAGTGATCGGAAATCAGGGGTGGTTTTTTAATTGTAAATATTGATGGAAAATTCGTTGAATGGATTTATTTTTATACAGTAACGAGACGAGTGATACGTGATGGGATCAATTTTTTATTCCTCAAGTGTCTTTGATTGTTAGTGGATGAAAGGAAATTTTATGACATAACTTATTAGTATTGATATCAAATAATCGATGAATGGCCGGTATACTAAATGTAATTACGTACAGGGTATGAAACAAGTGACGACAAATTTGTGGAAAACAATTTTTTTTTAAATAAATCAACTCAACCGCGATTTGTGAAAGGTTGATGTTCTTGTATACATGCGTGTAAAGTTTCGAGGCAATAAATAATATTATTGATAGATAGAAACTTCATTTATTTATAAAACATACTATACTTATTCCTCGATTGCAAGTGTACATAATTTATTAATGCGTCAAAGGGTAAGGAAACATCTTTGGATTCTCCTCTGACAGACCTTACTATTGCGTGACACAGTTGGTAAGATCAACGGAGCAAAGATACCTAGTGAACGTGAATTAGTCTAAGGATGGAAGATCATTCTTCACCGACTGTTCAAAGTGCCTCGCACTGCGAGAACGTTGCGCAAAATTTTCACACGTTACAAGAAATATTGATTTCTGAGTAATAGTGTTTAATTTAACCAAGAGGCGAGAAAGATATTTACAAAGTTTTGAAGCCTCTTTGGGGTACTTTGTTGAAATCGACATTTGACATGCCTCGAGAAAGTTGAAAACCAAGACAACCTCCTCGAAATAGTATCACTCCTACTGCTCCATGGATAAGTTAGCTAAACGTTTTTTTAGCTCTTGGATGAGTTGATCCCTCGGCACGGACGTCTCTTCTCTCGTCTTGACATCCCTCAACGTAACCACCTGCTTCTTCAGCTCACCTTCGCCAATGATGATAGCCAGAGGTATGCCGTACTCTTCACAGTGCTGCAGTTGAGCCAACAGCTTTGGACTCTTTTTGTAGGATTGCTCGGCCTTGATTTCGTTCTCCCACAGATCGATGAGAATCCGCATTCGCTCCTCGTGAAGGTTTTTCTGCGCTGCAGCAACAAATACCTGTACATCTGTGGTACGGACCTTTGAGCCTTTCTTGGCGATTGTTCCTTCGATGACGCTGAAGATGCGTTCGATGCCAAGCGACACACCTACGCAGGGTACCGGCTTGTTTTTCGGGTCAAACATGCCAACGAGGTTGTCATATCGACCACCAGCTGCTACACTGCCCACTTCCACGTTATCACCTGTAAGAACAAATACAATCGTTTATTTCAACAAACATAAAATAAGGTATTGAAACAAAAACAAAAGTACATACCAGTTAACACTGCTTCGTAGATAACCCCGGTATAATAGTCTAGACCTCTCGCTAGACTAAGATCGAAAGTAAGACAGTCCGAGATTTTGAAAAGGTCGCAGTAACTGAGCAAAAGTTCCATCGAATCAAGGCCTTGCACGGCCGAGTTCTGCTTTACCAGAACAGCGTCCTTCCTTAGCTCGTCTACGAGCTCTTTGCCTCCGTTCTGAAGTACGTACTCGCCGATTTTATCTGCGACGCTACTGTCTAGGCCTTTCTCTTCAACCATTTCCTTTTTCACCTCCTGCCACGGGCTCTTATCGAGTTTGTCGACCGAAGAACATATGATTCTGAATTTTTCCGCGGGCACTCCGCATGCTGCGAATATCCCGTCCAGTAAGCACCTATGGTTTACTTTTATTTGGAAAGGACCTAGATCCAGTGCCTTCAGAGCTTCGTAAATGATTCGTAGGCACTCTACATCTGGTAGCATTGGATCGTATTGCCCAGCAATGTCAAAATCCTGAAATTTTATAGTGTTATTGTATTTTTCTAGAAAAAAATTACTTAAATAAAATATTATTGGCTTCACTCACGCATTGGTAGAATTCTCTGTATCTTCCTTTAGTCATTGCTGGGTTATCCCTCCTGTATACTTTGGCAATGTGATACCTTTTGATGTTTGTTATCTTATTCATTGCCAAGTATCGAGCAAAAGGAACAGTCAAGTCATATCTCAAGGCAAGAATTTCACCACCTTGATCTTTGAGGTCATAGATTAATTTTGAGTCTTCTCCATATTTTCCAGTCAGTACATCCTACAAATAAAACCAGCAGGTACTTGAAATTCTTCGAAAATTTTTGCTTTTTTAATATTAAAATAAAAAAAAAAAAAAAGCTTACCTTTAACTCGAAAATGGGAGTGTCTATCGTTTCAGCACCATGTTTTTTAAAAATAGAAACAATTTTTTCAATGGCTTTTAGCCTCACTGTCATCTGCTCAGGGTCATAATCCCTTGTGCCTTTTGGAGTTTTGAGAACGAGTTTCTGTGAGCCACTGCTTTTATCACCAAGTTGAGCTTTCAGTTCCAAAAGCTTGTCAACCTCTTCTTTGATCTGAAAGATATACATTAGCTTTATTGACGGAATTTGTGGATAATTATTTACCGACGACTTGTAGGACGCATACCTGCGGAGTAGCAACCACAGTCGTGTAACGACGGGCAGCAAGCACGAGATTGGTTCGCATCAGGTGCAGCATGGCGAAGAGAGGAAGGAAACCGCAACCAGAATGAAAGATAAAATCCACCTCAGTGTTGTTTATTTGAACTGAGTGAAACATCAAATACATTTTTCATTTTAGCAAGGTAAGGTACAACTGCCACAGATAATAAATCTTTGAAAGATAAATATTGATTTATAATCAATCAGAAAGAAGTTTCGGTCAATGATGAAAAAATTTCATCGTTTTAAAGTCTGTGGCAGTAATGTAAGCCTTGCAACTACTGCCTCACCTTTTTGTCTAAATCACTAGTGGAAAAAGTGGTAAGGCCACTAATTAGGCTTGACAGTTTGCTATTACATGGCTTTAATTCAGGGAATCCAGCGCATTCCTCTGAACTGAAGCTTTTCATATGATCAAACCATCGTTTCAAGTGAGGCCAGTTACCATAGCCTCCGTTTTCACAAGAAATACACGAGTTAAAGAGCTCTATGTCTTTCTTGGATGGACAGCAGCCACACACGTAGCTCTGCCTTGACAGAGCTCGATTTACTTCTCCCAACGATTCTTTAAAATCCTGAAGGTGAAAAGTTCTTAGCTTGCATCATTTATTTATTTATTATTATTTGTTTTTGTTTTTTTCACATCATGTTGTAATTTTTGCTAATTTAGTTAGTATAAAAGTGCTATTTTATACTTGTGTAACTATTATTCAATTTATAAATCAGTCAAGCATGCATTATTTGAAATTTATCATACAGAAATCAGAGGATGATGTAATCTTTAAAAGCGTTGAGTTCTACAGAACGTGGATTAACTTTTATAGCTTTGGTTATAATGAAATTTTTTGAATTTTAACAAAATCAACTAAATCAACTTAACAGAGAAAGCCTAAAATCACAACGACTACCGGGACTCTGAAATAGGTTGCCAAATGTAAACATACCCTCAGTGTGCACAAGATTACTCAATAATATCCATTAAATTTTACTGCAAGACGTAAACAAACATAAATTAGCTGATAACTAAAAAAAATAACACGAAAGCTCGAGGCTTTTAGGGTCTCAAAGGTCCAAAATAAACGAAACAATAACCCGTAGCAGAACAAAACAAAACAGCAGACAGCATTTTAGCGCTCGACGTTAAAAAAATGCCTTACTCCCGACTCTCTCTCTCGAGAGTAATAACCAAGTAAAAATAATCGGAAGAGAAAGGCTCGTTTTTTGCAACCAAGCGAGTCCAAAGATCCCAAGAAGGTAATAAGTATCTTTCTCTTCTCCACGTGCTCTCTCTGTCCCCTGCCCACAAGCGCGACTCTACTTATATAACCTAAGCGCGATGGTAAACATACGGATGAAAAAAATTACTGTTTGTCCGTATAATAATGTATTACCTGCTTGGGATCGGCCTTGGCGCTCTTTAGCCGTCGCACCAGGTCTCCCTGTTCCTTTATCAGTTCCTGCAGGCTTCCCATGTCAGCCGAAAATTCACCCAGACAGACTTAGAGTAGGTGAGCGGGCACTACCTACCCGTGGAACAATTATTCACAAAATTGAACACAATATATTTAATAACACGAGCACCACGTAAATTATTTGAGCTTTGGTATAAATATTGTTACAAATAACACCCAAACTGAAATCTATTAACTGTTGCTCAACCGCGTCAGCTGCTCTCGCGGACAGGTCTCTCTCGCTCTCTCTCTCTTGAGTCAGCGGAGAGAGGGAGGTCCCCCCTCAGGGGAGGAACGGGAATTGCGCGCGCAAGCTGCCATTGGCGGGACATTCAAATAAATCGGAATTTTTTTCCTGACATCCTTGTCTATTATTTTTATTATTATTATTTTTCACCTAAACAATAGATTTTTATGACCAACAGACAATATTTAATAAAAAGTTAATGATTTAATTCAGTGTTTAGTGTACTAAGTAGTAACATCACTGTCGAAATAAAAGAAAGGCGTGCCTTAAGTAGATTTTGTGATAGAGAAGGCCTTGCCAACTGGTTTAGAAACGCGTGCGTCTAAAACTCCAAAATACGCACGTTTTTTCTCCAAGCGACACACATCCTTTCACTATGGAGTATATATTTAACATGGTAAAGTCACGGAGACTTTACACGTGGAGGTGACTTACGACATTACATTTTCGCGGATCGATGAAATTTGTTATACATATATGAGTTGACGATTTCAATTTGCCGTTAGTCAGGTATAATTTCAAACAATTATTTGGTCCGAATTTTAACAAGTAATGCATGTATACGAATCCTTATGGAGGGAAGTACTATATTTTTTGTAAGGCTAAATATATTATTACTTATATATTATGTAAATATTTTTGTAGTATATTATTTTGTATAAGTACGTGTAAGGAATTTTACATCGATTTCTTTGCTCAAAAAATTGGGTAAGTGTACAATACAATATTATGTTGAATAGGAAACAATTTGTACATCGGTAAGGAGAAATCAAGAAGACAATAAATGCATTTTTTTTTACATCTAGATAACTTTTATTAACCAATTTCATCGTTATCGTTACAAATTACGCTGATGAGAGACATTGCGCATGCCATTTCAAACAGATACAATGAAATGTGATAACGTCACTATTTTTTTTTTTTTGTTTTTTTGTTTTTTTTATTTTTATTACAGTCAATGAATTGGCGAATGAATGAATTTAAGTGTGCAATGATAATGCAGCGGGAGGTTTTCTTTTTATTTTTTCTTAAATATTTTCCATTAATTCATGCTTACGTTTTGTTTTTGATTGCTCGTGTGGCATTATGCATTTTTGTATATGATGAGTCCAATTGATTTTTTTTTTTTTTTTTTTTTTTTTTTCATAAACATTTTTCATTTTTTTTTTTTTTTCGTTTTTTTTTCTCATACCACTACTCGACTGTTTAATAACTTGATTAACCGACAACACGTACTTGGTATTCCGCAATGTTTTTCTGTTTTATTCTTTTCCTTTACATTTAATGTTCGATCGTGTCACTTGTATAGTCGTAGTGTAAGAGTCACTTGTGCGTGTGTGTACAAACTTGAATAATTATAGTCGAAGACATCAAAAACATTCTACGTAATGTTTAAATAACGAGACCGTGGATTTGCCTATCGACGTCTTTTTTTTTTAACGTTTCGGAATTTATGTTGAATCACCACTATAATCACATCAGTCGTGCAATTCTAATTTTTTTTATAAAGAAGTGCAGCGCTAAATGACGTTAACTCCGAGCTCAAGATGTTTACGATTTTCGAGAGTACGTGTGTGGCGTTGTCTCTGTTTTTTTTCCGCTAACAACTGAAATTACGAAAGGTCGTCCCTTTACTTAATTTTTTTTTTTTTTTTTTTTCACTTATTTTGTTATCTTATTTACTCACTAAAATTCGTAAAATTAATAGATACACGAGCTCCTCGTGACTTCCGTATTTTTATTTTATTTTTTTCTCTAAACTATACAGGGAATTTTATCCTCGAAAAAACATGTTTAAAAAATAGATATAGTTACTTCGCGTCTTTGACCGTAAAAAATGAATCGAATTTTCTTGTCCCTTGTTTTTTTGATTACACTTTCAATCACTTGATCGAGGGTCATCGGAGTCATACGATAACACCCTCAAAATTTTTATTTTCTTTTTTGTTTCCATTTTCACACAAATCCACGGCCTTACAATCGTTTAGGCTTACAGCTACTATTATTTTCATTAAGATATCGGTGTACTTATACAAGAATGCTTTAATTTCACGTGTTCCTCCTCAAGCTTTCCCGACTCTCCTTTCCCTTCTCTCTGCTATTACTATTGTATTATTACTATTATTATTTCTCGTACTCTCTTCATCCAATCTCACATCGATATTTATTATCTCTATTTTATTTCAAAAATTTTCCTCGCTTAATAATCATTGCTATTGCAAATATTCAAAAAAATCGTTTCAATCCTTCAAACACATACTTTCGCAAACCAACCGTGATTAAAGTCAACCCTTATCAGCTGTCCCTGTCCTTTCGTTCTATAACCGAGTCAAAACGATCCCGCGATCCAATGGATTATACAAAAAAAGTCTGACCAGTTTCAGATCGAACTACACCTGCAACCCAGTACAATGATTCATGGTTTTCAGAGATAATTTATTTTTTATTTATCGTGTACCTGGGACCAACTCATCGATCTTTGTTTTTAATCATCTTTTCAATTTTTTAAATTGTTTTTTTTTTTGTTTGTTTGTTTTTTTTCTTATTATTTTGGTCCTGTGTGGCAGTGCCATGTTCAGTTACTTGATAACGAACAATTGTGTGATTTGGCTTCTTAATTTTTTTTTATCATTTTTTTATTGATTTTTAATCAGTGTTACATATTTTCACAAAACTTACAATTACTTACACTCTCGTGTAATATTCATACCGAAATATCGATAAAACTTATTATTCGCCAAAAGCTAAACAAATCTCTCGACTATTGCCTCGTCTGTTTCACAACTCGGCCATTCGTTTGCTTCAACGCTTAGCCATGTCTCTAAGGGGTTCTCCTCTTATCGTTAAATTTATCATAATTGTAATGAAAATCGTAATGATCGATGGCGATAATATTTAATGATTGTTGAATATATACTGGATGATTAAAAGTACACAACTTAAGTCTTTTACAACGATAGAAGGAGTTAATAGAAAAACGAACGATATTGATTACAAAGTAAATGCATCGTAAGTCACGCAAACGTATACTCGTATATTTAACTCGTACAACTCACTGATATTTACATCATATTTATATACTTGGACGCACGCATATTTTGTTACATTCACGCGCACACAATAAGTCGATACAATTACGCCTTCACGTTATATTAATCATAATATTTATATTTATATTTATATATATATAATATCTTTGTATATCGTAATTTTTGTTTTTTTTATCCTTACCATTGCATTGTCGCTTCGGTTACTTGAATCTTGTATGTATAAGTCATATTATATATCTATAATGTTCGTATGATTATTTTTCTTGTTTTTCGTCATCGTGGTGTTTTCTTGTTTCATTTCGTACACTTCCTCGCGATTCTCATCAATCTACGCCCGACAAAACTCATTCGTTTCAATCTCGTCACGTTTATATTTATAATATATATTTTTATATTCATATTTACTCTTATGTTGTTTATTTTATATACGTTTTAATGTATACCTAATCGTTTGCGTGTCATTTCATTTTCATTTAAATTTAAACGTACGTAGACTTGGAAAGCTATATAAGTAGGATGGCGCTTACGAGGATGATCAAAGAGAGTTTAGATTTAATATTCATTATAGCTATTATTATACTAATCCTCAATATTTCTCCTGTTTCTCTTTCCAAGGGAAAAATTAGAGAAACTCGGCTTCTACTCTTGCGGCGGAGGAGGGGGGGGGGTATGGTTTTTATTATTGTTATTACATTTTTTTCTAAAACACGTTGAAATATATCGCAAGTTTATTATTACTTTTTTTTTCTTCTTTTTAATATCACCGGCATAATAGCGACGTTAATAGTAATAATAATACACAGATTGCGGTATCGATTCTGTTAATGCATCATGAATGTATGAGCGGCCGAAAAAAAATTCGGACCCTAGACCACTAATAAATAGCGACGTAATTATCTTTTCGCGATGAATGGATGAATTCTTTTGTTTATCCTCTAAAACATCTTTGTTATCCACTACGGCCTCTACGCTTTTAATTTACTTGGTTAAAATCGCGTGTCTTCCACATGACGCGCTAAAATTGCGTGCACAATATCTACGAGTTGGCTAATTCATTGGTTACTTTTATTTGTTCATCGAGTTCGAATGTCTCCTACCTATGCCTCATTAACTCTCAGCAAGTTGGGTTTCTTTTCTTTTTTTTTTTCCATCAATTTAGTAATGCTGTTTTCTCCGACATCTTCGTTGCTTGTAAAGTTGATTAGAAATTTTGCCCACAAATTATTCAAAGTTAAGGTTCAGACCACTGCATTGATTCAAAAAATGAGTTGCTCATCGGGGTAAGAATAATTTTTGTACTCTTATCGCGTTTCATTGATCTCTTTGCACTGATCGAACGGAATTTGAACACAGACTGGGGGGTAAAAAATAAAAAATCATAACACACGTCCCGTGTGAATCGGTAAACATCGAATCTCGTTTAACTTTAACGCAAGTCGATCGGCGACAAAATCGTCAGTTAAAATTCGTCTTTTCCTCTCAGCCTCTTTGCTATGATGATCTCCGACAACGTCCCGAACGCCCGGGCCCACCTACACGCGACTGCAGCACAACTTTCGAAAAGAAATCGCCGTCAAGATTCGAATAATCGTTTCGTCGGTCTAGACTAAAAAAGCCCGTCTGCTCGCGCGCTCGCCCCCTTTGTTTTTTTTTCGTTTCAGACTTATTGCGGGACGCGCGAACGGCCGGCCAAGGTATAAAAGTAGAAAACGCGACGTTGGAATCGTCGAAAAGCCCAAACTAAACGTCTAAACATACGTCCTAATAATTATCACGATGCGGTTTTGGCTCCCGATTTCGGGGTGTATATCGAATCCATGTATGGTTTTGATCGCAACTTTGTGGAGATGATCCGTCGACGAAGTCAAACGAAAAGTAAACCCAAAAGAGGAGTACAGGTGTAATCAGCCCATCGACAACTAAGAGGCGTGCATCGTGCAGTTCGCGAGGGTGAGTTAGCGCCGTTCGTTGTCGTCGCAAAATTGCAAAAAAAAAATACATCGTAATGATAACCCGTCGTTTTTTTGCTTCCAGCGAGAGATAAGCCGGCGCGTCAACGAGCGAGCGCAAACGCGAGGGCAGTCGGGGTGGGATGGGCTTACTCGAGACGGGCCTTGTAGCTGGTCTTCCAGATCTCGGCGAGCGTGACCGCGCTGTGGAACCTGTGGAAGATGCACAGGGGTATCGTGAACCTTTGCACGAGGGCCCAGGGCAGGTAGCCGTAGAAGTCGATCTGCACGGGATTCGCCGCGACCTTTTGCGCCTCGAAGGTGTAGATGACCCACATGGTGACGTTGCAGATGAGAAGGAAGGTGACTATCTGCCGGCCGGGTTTGCTGCGATCGTGCTCGGGCAGGTGGACACGCCGGCGCGATACGTCCGAGATGAAGAGCAATTGGAGGACAACCTGGACCACGGCTACGGCGTTGGTCACCATGACGAGGAGGTTCGGCTCGTGGGTGAAGGCAGCTAGGGAGCCGGCTATGATGCTGAAGACCGCGTAGATGAAGAGCCCGAAGGCCGAGACGCGCAGGAGTATGTCGTTGAGGTCGCTCTGCTCCTCGGCTTTGAACTTGAGGTTTTGGATGCGACAGAAGCCGACTATGATGGCGAATATCGAAAGGACCATGAGGGCGCAGTGCGACACGTCGGCGAGGTATATGGCGAGCAGTCCAAAGTCCGGGTGGTGGATCAGCACGAAGAAGAGGATCAGGCAGATCAACGAGGCGACGAGGAGCAGGAGACCGATGAAGAGACCCTTGCTGGCGCCCACGCAATCCATGCGGCCGTTATCTGCGGGACGTGGGTACAGGGGGAAAAATCGTTATTATCTCGTCGGATCGTAATATTGGTAATTGACGTGTCGAGGTGCGCTAGATTTATCTTTCAATATGTCGTAATAATAATAATAATAATATCGATGCGAATATTATGTACATTATATACATGGTGAGAGGCTTTTACGTTTCCGACACCTCGGCAACTCGATCCGTCTCTCTGTATCTATTATCACCACCACGTCGGTTGGTTAAATAGTGACAAAACGTTGGTGAACAACTACCTATTCTAATCGTTGGTGTAAATTTGTTGCACCAATTGTTTTTAAACCAAAGGCTTATGGTAAATCATTGAATTGCCTGACAATGCTTTTATGCTTTAAAACAATTGGATTCAGAGTGCAAGAGAACGAACTAAACTAGTTTTTTTTTTTTACCTTAATATACAATATTGTAGTGGTGGTAGTTTCGATACGAGAGAGTGGTATTGTATTTGCGGGGTGTCAGAGACGTAGTTACAACATAAATTATATATATATATATATGTATGTATACCGTAGCTGATTCTGCTGAGGGCATGCAATCCAGCCCTAGCGGAAATTGGTATTCAAGAAATTTCCAAGTTACCGAGACACAAGCATTTGTGTGAAGCATATTATGTATGATACTATATGTATGCATAAAGTATTTAAGCATGAAAAAAGAAAAAAAGCAAAGCAAAAAGCAAGCAAGCTGGCAGCTATGTGATCGCTGGACGGTAAGGTTAATAAAGTGTTTGCCTTTATAGCCGTACCTTTGCTCAAAGTGTATGTAACACCGGTCTCTTTTCCTACATCGAGCTCTTCTTGCTTAGTGACATTCCCTGATTCGTTATTTTCAGCGTTATTTTCAGCACTATTTTCAGCGTTATTTTCAGCCGACTCATCTAAAAAAGCAATGAGTAGAAGGAAAAGATACAAGAATGACAGGTAGAGATGATGATGATGATGATGATGATGATGATAATGATGTATGTGAGAATAATAAATGAACAAATTTCGCCCCTCTCTTTTTTTCTCCTACTGTTGTTTATTTTTTTATTACTTTTTTTTGCGATTGATCGATCGATCGATCGATCGATTGATGATGTAATTAGAAATAATAAAACAAAACAAAAGAAATGGCTTTTCTTCACGTGAAATGAAACAATGAACAAACAGATACGTATACAAGTAAATACTACATGAGCTTCAAGCGCATGATTTGCAATTGTATAGCTGATATGGCAGAAACTGATCTGCTGGAATAAGAATAGAAAAGAAAAAAAAAAAAAAAAAGAAAAAAAAAACGGACACTCGATCAGTAAGCTCCAAAAATCTCGGAATACCAATTTCCTAACTAAGGATTATGTACATTGTCCAAAAAAATACAAAGTCCGTCTGTTAACTTATCCATTATATACTTATCGTCCTTACATTTGTATCAACTACACGAGGCGAAAACAAAAAAATAAGGTCCAAACAATAACTCTCTGCAACTCGTGTGAATAAAACTCAACTTTTCTCAAAATGGTCACAAAAAACAGCCAAATAAAAAAAAAACAATACTGTTAACAGGGGGAGGATTGTTATATGAGTAACGTAAGTATTTATACTAAAGTATCAACGACGAGAAAGAGAAAAAATTACCTGCGTGAGCAAGAGCCACGGCGCGCCTGGAGAGCATGGCCTCGAGTTTGCGCTCGAGGTCGGCCTCGATCTGGTGGGGCGAGCGCGGGTGCCGGCCAATGTGCTTCCACATGACGTAGATGACCGCAGCCCCGATCAAACTGTACTCGATGATGAAGGGGAACAGGTACGGCGCCGCGTCCTTGACAATGGTGCCCATGATGTTGACCCGACCGCAGGTGTTGTTGCCGCCCGGCATGAGCCCGATAGGCCCGGTCTCGGTGAATGTCAGCGCCTCGGCGTAAACGTTGAAACTCGGATTCCACAGGGAACCGATGACCGAAGCGCCGGTGGCGCTCCCCGTGAGATTCGCCGCCGTCGAGTTGAGGACCGAGTCGACGAAGCGCGGGATGTTGTTCCTGCTGCTGCTGTCGCTGTCCGACTGGAGATCAAAGTCGCTGAATATGTCGGCTGCGTAGGTGGCGGTGGAGTGCAAGAGGGCCCCGGCGCTGCTGCTGCTGCTGGTGGTGGCCGTCGTCGTCGAGCCTAGAGCCGAGTCGGGCGGCGAAGTCGTTAGCGAGTAGTGGTCCCTCTTGGGCAGGAGAGAGGTTAGGATGCCGGATAGGGTAGTCGCCGCGGTGGAGGTCGTGGTTGCGGCGGCGGTGGTCGTAGCGGGCGCCAGGGTGGAGGTGGCGGCCTCGGTGAGTAGGGTCGAGGAGTAGGCCTCGCTCGAGGACGGGGTCGTCCACTCGGTGCTCGGGAACGACGTAGACGAGTAGAGCGGGTTACCGCCGCCACTACTACTGCTACTACTACGTGGGTACAACAACGAGGACGGCGTGATCGTCGAGGTCGAGGTCGTCGTCTTTGTGCCCAGGGTCACGGCACGGGCCACCGGGCGCACCGTCGTGCGCATCATGCGGTTGAACGAGGAGGCGGTCGTCGCCACCGTCCGGGCAAACTTGTTCGGGTAGGGTGTGGGACTACCGCCCGGGTAGAGGCGCAGGTTCGCCATGTCGCGGGGACGCTCGCCCAGTATGACCCCAGCGTTTTGCAGCGTATGGCCCTTTATGCTCGCTGAAAGCGTCATTAAAGGTGCCGTTTGTCTTTTTAAACTCATTCTCATCATCACAGCTATAGGTATGTCATTTTATGTATAATTTTCATCAAAATTATAATGGACTTATTGATTTTGAAATATCAAACAAACGACATTTTAACAATATCGAGGCAAAATAAACGCACACAAACTAAAGAATAATCTTCTTATTTCCTTCTGTTCTTTCAGGTACATAATTAAGCTGCTCATAATTCGTTGTACGAGAAAAATGTGAGAGCAAATCAAACGAAATTCAAAGCAAAACGCTCACCGTAAAACATATGTGGGATGAAAAAAAAGATAGGGTGAGGAAGTCCCGGGAAGCAAATATTGAGTACGTGTGTGCTCGAGGATCATAATATATAACGTATGTGTAACAATCTCGCCCTCGACGTCCGATCGGGAAACATCTTCAAATATTGGAGCAGCGCCTTTACTTAGCGCCAGCTTGGATTCATCGATCGCGAAGAAATTCATCGCCCACGGTAAGAGGGTATACCTTTGCCCACACGCGCACACACGTACCGACTCGCAGCCGCCCTACTATAGATTTGCCGTGCATGCGGAAGATGAGGGAGAGATGGGATGAAAGAACGCTCGAAAGCCTGGATTGGCTTACCTAGTATTCCGGCTTCGGTGCGACCCTGGTTTCGGTGGTACTCGGTTATCTCTTTTATGCTCTCCAGTACGAGGGTACGGATCCAGACGCAGAGGTTCGTGGCCACCACGTGCATGAGGCCGAATCGGGCGACGACTTTGAATCGATGGATGTTCAGCTGTGGGATGAAACAAAATACGTGTACAAAAAAACGTATACCTCGACACGAGGGTTCTTTGATGAAAAGGAATTGTTTAAATGGGAATGGGTTTTGTAGAGGAAGATAAGATTGAAGCCGACGGAATAAACTGTATATACCTGTAGTGTACGAAAACTCTTCTTTTAAGCCACGAAAAGTTTGTTGGGGAGGGTCGGAGGGGTAAAAAAAAGCTTGGAAAGCACTTTGAGGCCGAGTGCACTTACCCTAGAATTCATGAAGATAAAGTACATTTGCATAAAAGTAAAGATCATCTGGAGAACGGGGTTGACGCCTTGGAGTATCTGATAGCAGGGCGACGTGGGTGGGACTTCAAAGAAGACCCCGAATTCCAGTCCGTTGTACACCATCGTGCCGAGACCAAAGCCTTGGAAACAAAGAGAACACAAAACTGTCAAATCTGTATCGTTTGTCAGGAAGAAAGAGGCTGTACTATAGAGAGAGAAAAAAATAAATAAAGTTCATACCGATGGCGCCGATTCGCAGGAAGAAGCTTCCGTGGCTCGAGTCGTTCAGGGAGGTCTTGCGCCTCCTGAGGGCACGGGTGGCCACTCCGGCCTCCACATCCGTGGCATCCTGGAATAAACGTTCCTGCGTGGGTACGATTATAGTGGGTGAACTTGTGAGAATGATGATTATGATGATGGTGCATACACCAGCAAAGGGTTTATTTAAACAAGTAGTTTTTGTAAGCAGCAAGTGTGGGTGTGGATATACTTTTAACGAGTGGGTGCCGTCTGTTTAACTCTTACTTGCGAGTCTAGCGCGGGACTCGGAGGATGTTTTGGGAAATATAATAGGCGCTTCGGTAAACGCGAGTTTCTGCGCTGGTGTGGATCTATTTTCGTTTTATTACCGGTGTAAAAGCTTTTTTTTTTTTTTTTTGATCCAAGCAGTTGTACTTGTTGCACGAAAAAGCAGAAAAATATGCGGTATTAACAAATTTGTTTTTTTTTTCTTAGTAGAAATTTTATCCTTAATATTTCATCCAAGTTTTTTTGTCGTCCTTACAGGTACTAATCGATGTAAGTAAATGGTAACAATGAGTTAAGAAAAAAAAACCTTGGCGCAAAACAACGTCGCCCAAGAGAGTGTAATAGCTCCGAGCTTTGAGGTTTAGTCAGTGCGCCAAAGTACAGGCGGACAAAGAAAAAAAAAAAAAACGTCCCTATGGTTCTATTTAAGGAATCCTTTCCTCGCTTCCTCCCGCACATGGAACACATAGAGACCGCCCAATACGGCCCTTCCCCCGCCACCCCCCATGGGTTTCCATTGCGTCATTAAGGCTACGCGCGGGCTTTTATTTACACTTCCGTTATTCTCGCGATTTGTTTTCCCGGAAACCGCGAGTTGAGTAAACTCTTTGAGAAGCCGTGACGCGATTTATGGTTCGACGGATACTTTGTACGTGATTTATGAGCTCCGCACTCTTACCGCGGTACTCGTATCAAAATCCTTTTTTTTGTTTCTTTTTTTAAAAAAAAAAAAAAAAAAAAAAAAAAATACATGTACAATACACTCATGCCTCTATATACTTAATGAGTTTTAATTATAAAACCCCCCTCTGAAGTCCCCAGACGCGACAAACGGAGCCTACCCTGAAAAACCTCGAACGAGGGAAAAAAAAGCAGCACGAGCACATACCTGAAACTCCTTCTTGCTCTTCTCCTCCTTCTTGTCCTTCTTGTCCTTTTTGTCCTTCTTCTTGCTCTTGTCCTTGGGTTCCTTGGGTTGCTTGGGGGGTTTCGGCTGGGGCGGTGGCACGTCCGCGCCCCGCGAGCAACACGCGCTCTCCTGCAGCAGGAAACAGAAGACGTAGAGGAGGAAGAGTATGCTCACTCCGTACAGGTAGGTGAAGAAACCCTCGTAGTAGTACAGGGGCAGCCTGTACGTTACCGCCTCGCTTATCACGTACGCCACGCACACCACCACCAGGAGCTTCGCGTATATGAAGCTCATTATTATGAACAGGGACGTTCTGGAAATAAAAAAAAAAAAAGGAGATTTTTTATTTTTTTATTTGTTTCAAGCTCGACCCATTTGGTGTGCTTTCTCGATTAAATTATTTAGCGAGGGACACCTGACACCAGTGCCCCCCCCAATACACATTTGTTTAAGGGAGTTACATTGTTGGCTTGCACATCTGTCGAGTGAGCTTTAAAAGCTCTATTACCCAATTACCCTTCTCTAATAAAGCGGAGCTGTCGCACCTCAAGCCCCCTGTATACAGCTTACCGTCTGCTCTGCACGCCCCTCGCCCGACCGCCCTGTCTCCCGAGGAGAGTCGACGCGGTGCTGCCCGTAACCCGGTGATTACCAGCTCTGCTCCTGCCCTCGTTCTCGACAAAGGGCGCTATGACCTCGGCCTCGGCGCTACTCGCCATTTCCACGCCACGGCACTTGCGTCGACCCCGTGGCGAGTCACGGCGACGCTCACGCATCGGGGCAAGCCCGGTGTCGCGCGATCATCCTCGAGCCGAGCACTGAACAGCTACACTGGGGCTTTCGCGCGTGCGAGGGAGCAACTCCTCGGGGGGTTTTTTTTTTCGGGGCTATTTTTGTCTCCCGCCTTGCGCGTGCTCATATATATATACACGCTTGTGTATATATAGTAACGCCGGCTGTTGTGATTGGGACTGAACACAGCCTTCCTTCTCTCGCGGCGCTCGTTTCACTATATATGGTCTAGCTTCCTCCGTGCGGGTCCGAGAGGAGGGCTCGCTGGATAATAATAAACAGGACCAAGCTTCGCGAGCTCATCGTTTGTTTGGAGGACACGTGCCGTAAACGATTACTCTCATCACGATTTTTCCTTTTTTTTTGGTGTGTTTGAAAAATCGAGATGAGAGTAATCGCACTCCCGATGAGCTTAAGAATATCCCGTCGAGTTGTGTATGGGCGTGGCTCAGGGGGAAAAAAAATGATCCCCGAATAAGGCAAGTTATATTTCATGGCAAGACTCTTAAATGATACAGCTGAGACGTTATTACAGAAGGAGCTTTTTTTTTTTTTTTAATACACGTTGGAACAATCAACGTTTGCTCCTGTCGGAAACTCGCTCGCAAAAGCGCGCTGACACACTTTTTACGGCTCCGTGAAACAGGGCATCGGGTTTACCGCTTACAATAAAAAAAAAAGGTATTGTACTTCTCGAATAAATACGAGAGGGAAAAAAAGCACCTATATTTCCATCCTGAAATTGAAAAAGTGAGCGAAGGAGGGAGGAGCTGCTGCTCTACTTTCGCCGGCTAAAACAAGTGAAAATAATTAACTCAAAGAAAGGGCCCCTCTCTTAAATGCTCCTCGTTAAAATTGTTTCTCCGTTACGAGGTTGAGCGGGGCGGGGGGGAAGGAGACTTCCCGACCTAATCCTAAAAGCTCCAAAATCTTCGGGGGTCCTCGCGAAGGAAAAACAATAAAAAAAAGATTCGAGAGCTGGAAAATAGATGAGAGCCGAGCGAGTTAAGCTCCGCTTAATAGCACCCAATTAGCGCATCCCCGTGATATTCGCCGTCACGACGACGGTAGTTGCGACGGGGTCAGGAACTTTCGAACGGCGCATAAATGCATAATGGAGAGCGTCCCCCCCTTTGCTGGTACACGTAGGTGCCTATAAAGCGTTTTTTTTTTCCACCGTAACCACCTGCAGTACATGCACCGAGTCGCGCGTTTTTCTCGCGAGCGTGACAAGTATAACACTGCAGGTCTCGTGCGCTCGTGAGTGCCTCTCTGCCGATGGTCGATATCTCTCAAAGTGCCTCTTTCTCTTCCAACGTGTCTCGTATACGGCTCCTCCGGACTATATACATTTGCGGGGAAGCGAAAAATCCCGTTTTTTGGGGATCTGTGGTACAAGATGGATTTCTCGCTCCACGTGTGGCGTTGCGCAAGCTTTGGTGTCCGTATCGTCGAAGCGGATCGATTACACACCTCGGTCTACCGTATTATATGTGCGGAGCTTGTAAAGTGCGACTTGGTATAACGAAAAAAAGTCGAGTCTCGGTTTCACTCGGCCAATCCAATGCCAATTATGTAATTTGTAATAACAAATTTTTTTTTCAACCGCACGCGCGACGGATCGACTCCTGGGCACCTGAGTGTGATATACGTATACGCCTATAAAATATAACGCCATTTTTGGATTTAGGATATAAAGTGAGGGCCACCGATCGAACGAGACCGAATGATAAAATTTATACGCCTACTTTAGGGAAAATCTTTGTGGTGGTAATTATTTAATATAGTAATTCCGTGACTCCAGGTAGGAAGAGACGAAACTACCGAGTTTCTTTTTTTAAATTAACGTACAAAAGTGGGTACACGCTCGCGTGTTTATCTGTTTGAAAATCATACGTGTCGGAGTACTCGTTTGTCCGTCGATAATTGAGCGAGACTCCCTTATTTGTCGATTCAATTAGGGGATTGTTGGTCTCACGCCTGTCGCGTGCAGCTGTTTTTTCCAGAAATGGTTATTTGGTTTTCCTGAAAAGTGAAATGGAAAAACAAAGGGTAGCCAATCTCGTTAGGTTTTATAAGGGGTTGTAACTTTATTCTTAAAATTGTTACCGCCATGAATATTTACGAGGTTAAAAGTAAGTAGGTACTATAGCTTTTTTGAGAAAAATTAATTTTTCGTGTCGTCGAGAGGGAATATTTAATTAAACGTGGAAAGCCTAATCGTGGATCTCTATTTTAAGATGTTTGGGAGAGAATCGGCTCACAACCCACACATCACAATGCAATGTACACTGTATTGACGATGACTAGTCGTTACCCCAAAAGTGTTCATACAAGCATTGTAAATCAAAGTGAGTTGTTTGAACTTCCACTCGTTTTGCATGTACCACGCAGCAATTTTTATAAATATTTGACAAATCGATGATATAACCGATACATGGCGAACGATTTAAAATTATGGCAAAATAAAAAAAAAAAAAACTAATGCAAGAAGGGTGCAGAAAGTTCACCGCGACAGATACGTTTTGCGCTATTTACCGATTTTTTCGTATAGTGCAGATTAAAGTGAAACTAGGAGATTTTAGCTGATCATGGGTAATAGATTTAAATAACACACTTCGGTCAACAATGTATGAGTTAACTTGTTCCGCCAACGATTTTCCGTATGATATTCCGTCGCGTTTTCACGTATACACTACATTTAAAAGCACCCTCCTCTCGCAACATCACTCCCACGTGGCACGTACCACCCTAAAGGCACAAAATTACAAAACCTTTGATAAATATATCTTTAAAGTCCACTAGACGCGTCAGAGCGCGCGGGAAATACGAAAACCGCGAGGCGAGCACACCGTAAGAACTGCAACTTTGGTGGCACGCGTCCGAACTCCATGTTGTGCCGGTCTCTCGAGTGGGGGAGATAGAAAGAGAGAGAGATCGTTTGGCCCCGGAGTGCAGTGGCAGGTGGCATATCCGTTCACCAAGAGACACCACTATACCTGCCATGCTGGGTGTATATATATTTTGTGTACATACGTACTAACGTACAGGAATGAGATACTACTAGACTACTTGTGCACACTTGTGTTTACTGTATGTAGGCACACGTAACTCGAGAGGCACACATATCATACACATACGCATCGGAGAGAGATCCCAATGGCGGTGCAGTTGAGTGCACGTATATATTATATGTGCGTACACCCATGTACGGATTGCATATATGAACGGGAAACGCACGCCCGCGATCAATACGCGCTGCTACACTCTGCGCGCATCGCTCCAGCAAATGCACTCGCGAAACATATACCTATGTTTACGCGGGGGTGGAAGTATCAAGAGACCATAATTTTGACGTTCAGAGTATGAGGAGTTTTTACTGTTTCAATGAGCGATGATTTAGAAGTGGAGATCAGCTATGTAGGGCATCGTAAAATCGGGAGAAAAAGGGTCGATTAACTTTAACGTCAAGGGATGAATTTTCGTCAAATAAACCAATGAGTTTGACAAAGTGCTCGATCGGTAGACCGGAATCGCGAGAAATTTCTCTCTTCTCGAGTCCTCCTGGAACGTCCTACGCGCCACGACCATCTCAATTGAAGCAGAGCGAGTGCCGGCCTCGATTGCGCTATTTCATTTCTCTCTTTCTCTCTCTCTCTCTCGCCCGACGACCTCCATGCCCATGTATTACCTTTCCATCTGACGGGATAGACCCTCCCCGTGGCGCGTCCCTGACTCCGAGCTCGAGTTTTCAAGTGTATACACTCGCGGAGAAATTTTATTTCCACGCCGCACATACCTACACCTTATATACAAGTATACGTACCTCTATTGTCGCGCCTATAGCCACTACTTTGATTTGCTCTTGTTTCGCATTGTGCTCATTAGCACGTGTGCGCGCGTGCAACGGTTGTGTGTACGAAACAAGTGACGGGTACAATAGGGAGGCTGTGTCCTTGGCGACCCGCTGTCTCTACACACACATGGGTATGGCGCTCTAATTGGGTGTAGCGGTGTAGGTACGTATTATATCGAGGCGGAAAATTAATATCGCGTTTGTTACGCGATTGGCTATGGTTTTCCGTGACGATGATTGGCAAGGCGCTGTTGTTGCAGAACTACATTTTTTTTTTTTTTTTTCAGATAATGAGTATCGGAGGGAAGCTAATCAGCTCCGACAGTCAACAATTACAACTCCATACATCATACTCTCTACGGTGTAGATCAACAGCCTTGCACCTGCAGTTTGGTATTGTGTTTTTTATCTGGTTATGCGATGGGTGTGACAAACAACGCAACCAAACGCGCTCATGGATGCAGCGACCAATGAAATAATACCAACGAGTGGAATTGCCCAATAGTTTATCGAAATCGTTTGTTGGTCACACTCGATCTCGGTACCCGCAAAATATCGCATGTAGCTCGTGTGTGCGTGGTATTAATGCACCGGCAACGATTGCGAAACACCGAGGCTCGAGTAGCCGCTGGTGGTGCATGTAATATTTTCCGACTAACGAGCCGAGGGCGTACCTGTACGTGTATGTGCTAGCGGTGCTCGTAATTCGAGAAAGAGCTTTATGTGCGCGTGCGGTAGAAAAAAAAAAAAAAAAAAAAGATATATACTGCAGCGATGACGAGGTTAACGAAGCGCGCCTCGCTAATGCACGTGTCTATAAAAGGGTCGTGTAGCTTTTCCTCGCCTCGTTCGCTTTTCCTTCCGCGACTCTCCCTTTTTTAACGAGCTCCCTCGCCCCCCCCCCCTTTTGCTCTTTGCTTCGCGATTTCGCGCTCAGGATTTTTATTGCCCGAAAATCGTTTTTTTTTTTTTTTTTTTTTTCTTTTTTTGGTACCTTGGCTTTTAAGCTTTCCAGAGGTGGGGGATACGAGTGACCTCCTTACCGGGGGACTGGCGTTTCGAGCGGAGACGCGTTTCGGAAACAATCCATCCCTCGAGATGCAAACGCTTGTTTTTTCACCCGAAAGATCTCGCATGGCAGGCCAGAGTGAAAAACTCCGCCATGCCAAATCTGTCGTCGCTCGAACAATTTCTCATTCTCACCGAATCACGCAAAAACATCCCTTGGTCCTAATTTAACAATGTAAAATTAATGTCACTGCTTTCGATAAACTGTGCTTGGGACACACAGTTGATATTTTTGGCAAAAGTCATCCTCCGTCCATACGACGTCACTAAAAAAAAAAAAAAAAAAAAAGACCCCTGATAAAAAAAAAACCTCACCCATTCCTGATCTTACTTTTTGGCCGGAGTGGAGCGCACGTTCTTGAGTTCCATCTCCTTGTTGGCGGCGTTGTTCTTCTCCGCGTTGTCCTGTGCGTTGGGTGGCTCGGCCGAGCCGGCCTGAGGATTGAGGGGCCGCGTAACGGGCAGCGTGGCCGTGTTGTCCCCGGCCCCGGAGGCCTCGACCTCGACGGTGGCCACCTTGCAGTCGCCACCCCCGCCTGTGGCCTGCATCTCCTTCTCCTGCTCCTTCTTCTTCTTCCCCGTGGTGGCTCGGGTTGCCGGTCGCGAGCGAGGCGCTCTCGGGCGACTCACTCGCTATATACTCGATCTATCTCTCTCTCTCTGCTCCTTATTTTAGGCCCCTTGGGAGCTTGCAAGCTCGACGCTCGGATCGGTTCAATTTACAGCTGGATACGATATGCTGCGGAGGGGGGGATAGATGGTTATTCGGATCAATTTACGAGCAAAGAAGGAAGGACCTTTGGTGGCTTCTTTGCTGGTAAATTGCCCCGCGAAGCGTCGACGAGAGGCAGGAGAAGCGATTCGACGATGGCAGAGTACCCGTGTACCGGTGCGTATATAGGGATCGACGAGGGGGAGGAGAGGAATTGGGTCGAGAGCGAGATGGGCCCAGCGTTACTATACGTGTGCGGGCAAACAGAGAGCAAGAGAGCTTTCGAGTGAAGCACGGGAGAGGAGGTGGGTTTGGGCGGGCGCCTGCGCCTCCGCCATTTTGGCGGACTCGGTCCTTTTCTCTTTGCTCATCGGTTGGACTCCTCCTCCTCCTCCTCCTTCTTTACGCAGGACACCGTGTTGTCGCTTATGTACACCTACACTTGTACAGCTTTAGGAAAGTTCGGGACGAAGGCAGAGGCAAACAGAGAGAAACACTCTACTGACGAGAGGAGGGGGGTGGGTGGAATCGAGGACAGCATCAGGTGAATTTTTGACGAGGCTTCTTCCGGAGGGTTTGCCGAGAGCTCGAAAAGTTGATGGCCTTAACTCGGAGTTTTCTGGGAATAGGTCGACCGAGAGCTTTTTTCCGTCTGACCAAAATTGCCTCGACTACTGCGACAGCTTTTGTACGCGTAGGCAACGATGAGGAGGAAAAAAAAAGTACTCGTACTTTGACGGCTTGGCAACAGAGGTAGGGAGGAAAAAAAAAAGAACCACGGAACAATGGGAAGAAAACAAAAAAACATAGCCTCGAGGGTGGCCGATCAATCGTGGGAGTCCGTGGAACCCGCCTCCTTAAATATCCAAACCCAAACAAGCCAGCTTAAAATATAGGGGCTGGTCTCTCGTGTATATAACTCGAAAAGTAGTCGTAGGTGCAAGAGGAGGTGGAGGAAAATCCACTCCTCGCCGAGAGAGTTGGGGGGATGAAAGACATTCGAATCGATGAGAGGAGGAGGAGGAGGGGGTGAGCAAGGGCCGACGTGGGAAAAGCGCTCGGGTGGTTCTTTCGGTGGTACGCGCCCAGCTCCCGCTGGCTCTGTTCAGCCTCCGTGCCCACCCCCTGCTCCAGCGCAACGAAGAGTCAGCCGTTAGCGCGCGCGCAACCCTCCGTGTGTACTCTCCAACTGTACCGTCTACATACGCGTAGGTGTATATGTATGCACGTCGGGTGCATTTCAGCACTTGTGTGTATACATATACATGCACGCTTGGGTTGCACTCGACCTGCCTGACTCGGTGTGTGGATGGATGGATGTATGTGCGCGGGAGTGAAGCTTTTGTCGAGAGCAAGGCTTTCACAGATCGCCCCGAAAGTGATTAGACACGAGCCGAAAGACAGAAAATATGGATTTTCCCGCTAACTTATGACCCTATCGACAATTTTATTTGTTATAACCGCCAGTAAACGCGTGATAATTAAATTTAAAATCTTGCAAACAGATGTTATTCGAGAGGGTGGGATAATGTAACAAAGAAAACGATTATTGGTAGGCGGTTGAAAAAGTATATACAGGTAACGCGCGTGTAGTAACTGTATGCGAGTAAATGAAATTTAAATTAAACAAAAACCGAGGGGGTGAAATTTAGGATGGAAAATGATAATGGCCGATGTGGAAGTATAGCGCAGCGCCTCCGTAGGTGCGCGTATATAAAAATTAGGGCGGGGGATCCATCCTTCCCTCCCACCCTCGGTCCTCTTGATGTACGAGAGCCGACGAATCAATCGGATCTGCCCATTCACGCGCGCCGTGTACGGACCATTTCTCGGCTATAGTCGGAAGGGAGAGGTTTTGGGTGGTGGTTCCTCCCGTAGCAGACGACACCGTGGGCGCGCTCTTTGTGGTATCGACCGAAGCGAGAACGCGGCACCAAACAATTCCGAGGTAATAAGTTTTTGCCAAATCCGCTCCAACTTGGCCACTATGTTTGTATACCACCGTCGCACTATACACACCGACACCGAGAACAAAGCCCGAAAGAGGCGTTCCCTCGAAAGGTTAACCAAAATAAAACCAATTGCAGTATATAATACACTCTCTGGTATATACTTGTACAAATATTTCAATTTGCTTGGTTCTCCGAGACAATGACGAAACAAAGAACAACCCTTTGCAAAGAAGATAGAGGCTCCTTTGTCACCGAGCCATCTATCCTTGAACTTGCCTTGGAGACGAAAAAAAAAAAAAAAAAAGAAGCCGAAACAGAAGAAAGCCCGCCCTTTGCGAGAGTGCCAGCAGCACTCGAAGGACGGCCGAGACCGACTGCGCCCTAGTAGTATCAGCGAGATCGAGCGGGTCCACACACGAAGGAGGGAGTATACGCAAAGGGAGGACGAGGGCGCATTACCAGGGGGGGGGAAAGGCCCCATCGTCTGTCTATCACCTCGGGGGGTAGGGGGAAGTTGTCTCTTCTCACCGAAGAAGAAGAAGAATTGCCGAGGTAAGCGAAACGAGGGTGCGTTTACGGGGGACACGAGAATAAAGGAGGAAAAGTATACGTGAGGAGGGCGACAAAGAAGGGGGGCTGTGCGCGGCTGGCGGAAGCTTCTCCTCCTACTCGTGAATCTCGGTGGGCGATACTTGTTTACGAGACAGGGACATTGATTCCGTGGTAATTAAAAAAAAAAAAAAAAAAAAAAAAAAAACAGAGATTTAAGATAAGATCGCGACACGGTTGCAGCAAAGTCGCACTTGCCGCCTACGGACTTTCGTCTTGCGCGGGCACTTGTTATATATTACGTATGTGGTATTACTGGTAGACAGTTTGGCCCTGGGGGCTTCAGAGTGCAGGGGCGAGCTGTCTGGGCGAGCGGGCCCGCAGCGACAGTAGCGTCGTCGACAGCATCCCGGAGACTGACTCGGCTGGCCCTGGTCCGGGAGGTCGGTCGCCTCCTCTTCTTCTCTTCCCCGGGCAGTGGAGCCTCCCTCCTCGCACAAGCGCACTCGCGGGTGGGTGGCTGCCACGGGTATCTCGCTCCCTCGGAGCTTCGTTGTTGCGGTAGGCGCCTCTCTCTCTCTTTCTCTCTATGCTCCTCCTCCCGGATGCTGCTGCGCGCACGGATGCTGGATCCGGATCACGTGCGCACGGCTTGAACTTTTTTTTTGCTTTCTTTTCTTTTCGTTGGCGCGTATAGGGGGATGAGGGGGTGCGTGTATGTGGCTTATACGCGCAGCTGCGTGAGGCCGAGGATGAATAGTGCGCGTTGTGGGGTGGGTTTGGCCTGTTATGCGTGCATCGACGGGTGACATCGTTCTTTTGGATTGTAAATGACACTAATGCTCGATGCCATGTATGTTTCACCTGTTCAGGGGTTGTTTTTTTTCCCGACGAAAAATGAGCTTTTTTTAAAAAAAACAGTTTAGAAAATCCAGGGGGTAAGGGGGTTGCACCAATGGTGGGCGTATATACGTGCATGGGCTGTAAATTATTCCATAGACACTCGGGTCGTTGGGACGAGATTGCGTGTCTTACCAGCCACGGCATGTACTACTGACTTATGTATGAACGCGCTCTGTTTCATGTCGCTTCTGATTTTCTCTGACGCCAGATTTGGTTATAAGCCCATCTGTGCTCTCCATAATTTTGTTTGTGTAAGCAATTCTCTTAACATCTGTCGATTACTAGTTTTTTTTATTACATTGTTCCTGGAACTATTATTTGCAATGACATTTTCTCGGTTCGATCGGTTTCGTGATTTTAAAACAAAATTCATCTCCTTGTTCGGTAGTGGTGGTGTGGTTCTTGACGGCGAAGTTAATTAACGGGAAGGAAGATTGGTGTTTCTCCGATGGCTGTGGCTCACAATATACCTACTTGTTTTCCTCTCGCAAACTTTGCCTCCTGCCTCGTTTTTCTCTTTTTTCCAGGATTGGAGTATCAAATGCATCCGCTCAACCGTGGAGGATTTTTTTTTTTCTCATTCGCTCTCTCGATTGTTTCCATTTCTGTTACCATTGTTATATAGCCCATGTGTATAGAATGAGTGTACTGTTGTTTTCTAATAGCTTCGTCATCGATTGTCAAATTTTCTTGGTTTTATTTTTGCCAGTATCGCGTTCGTACACTATTCAAAAAGCTACCTTGGCAGCTCCTAGTAGAAACAGACGTGTCTAGTCAGACAGTCAGGGGTAAGAGTTCTTCCATTCTTTCTGTTTTCAAATAACCACGCTTACGATCAGTTTTATTTTATTCCCTGCTTTTTACAGCCTTTTCACTCGGAATAAAAAAAAAAATCGTCTCAGCCGTGGTTTGGTTTATTTGTGAATGTTGTTAGCTACGTAAACTCGAGCCCTGTAAAGAAATTCTCGAGGGCCCTCGCGATGCCCCCGCAGGTACAGCTTAGTTAGAGCTAGAAACGTCTTGCATTGAATTCGGGTAAAAAGTGGGTTGGATTTTTATTCAGTTCAGAGCAGCGAAACTCGGCTATTTCTGCCCACGAAAGCCCCAACTCCCGAAATAAAGTAACATAAAATTTTATACGTCCAGCGAGACATGATTAAAAAAAAAAAAAAAAAAACTACGTGGAATGTAAACTAAATTCTCATGGATTTTTATTACCCAGCAAAACAGAGACAGAATTGTTCGAGCAGACTTTTTATCGATGCGCATCTTCCATTAAATATAATAGCAGCTTCCAAAAAAAAACCCCGAGACTCGATTTTGCTTCTATTAGAAATTTCCTTTTTCTTTGTTGGCACAAAAGAGAAAAACCCCCCACCAAGACGGAGAGTGAGAAGTACAAAAGTCTCTCCTCGGAGAAACGGAGAAGAGGAATGGGGTGCGTGAGTTAACAAAGTCTCTGTAGTCTTTGGTCCCCAAACGGGCCATCCACCAAAAGTCCGATGATGGAGGGGTGTCTGAAACCCAGCCCATGTCTTTGAAACACCCGTCGGCTGGATTCAACTGCCTGATGATGACGATGATACCACTGGGTCGGAGAAACGAGCGGTGAGGAGGGACGGGAGAACACGGCGACCCACTGACCCGCTCGATAACGCGGCGCGCGCGCTACCACCCAGGTTACTGACCTCCCGCGAGAGCAAAGGAGAAGCTGCCTGGCCGGCTGATATAATTCACGCGCGCGCACCATAGCTTCCGGTGGCTACGTGCACGCGCAACCTATATTTATATACCTTCCTCGCGAGCTCGAGGGACATTGGTGTTTACTTTAATATTATTTTGACACTTTGACTGGTGTCCACTATAGTCTGCGATT